ATTATTACTCGCAATGGTGTGCCACCCTTTAAAAAAGGGTCATTGTAAATAATATGAAAACCATTTACTCTTTACACCATGCTCTACTTCTACCATTACTCTTTTTTTGTCTTAATTCTCGGAGAACCCGCTAGATTTTCTTATTTTATACAGAACTCTAAGTTTGAAACCCCCAAATAGACTTATACTAAAGAGGGGTTTGAGATCATCAACAAAGGCTAGCCTCAAGGTTTATATCATACACATTAATTAGATGGCACATGATTTTTCATAGATGTGGCACGAACTTAAGAGGGATATCCTAAGGATAGCAGCTATGGCTCGACGTCATACGCAAACCCCCTTGCTCTGCGGAGCAGAGGAGAAATGCAAATACAAGTATTTATTAGGGGATATCCTAACCATCAATATGGAATAACCTAATTGAACATAGTGGATATCCTTACCATTATCAAATGGCTGACCATAAAAATATAGTGGATATCTTAGGATCCTCGATTAACTAAGCTAAATGGAAGCGGTGGATACATGATCATTAATAATCAAATAAATAGAGAGGAGATATGAATATCTTTAATGTCACCAGCTAATCTATCTATACAGTAAAGGAGCGAATGAATTGTAAAATACCTGTTACCTAAAAGTCCCCTACCCTCCTACGATCTCCACCCTTGGATGTGTCTCGATTTTCTATCCAAACGCTTGATATAGACCTGACAAGCGGACAAAAAAAAAACGAGAAGGACGATACGACGAAACACGCTTCCCTTGTGGTCGGCGACCGATCTCTACATCCGCTTCGGTTTTTTTTACGCAGGACGAACGTACCCGCCGCCTGTACCCGTGTCCACTAACCGCCGCGACCACATCCGCTCCGAGGCACAGCGTGGTGGCGCGGCTTCGGGACCGCTTGGAGGTGCAGCGTGGGGGTGCGGCTCGGGGGGTTCGAGGCTTCGAGCGACCGGCAGCGAACGGACGGCTCCTTTTTTTCTTCCTAGGTATACAGACGAGAAGCCACTAACTGCCGCAGCCACATCCGCTCGAAGGCGCAGCGTGGGGGCGCGGCTTCGGGGTTTCGAGCGTCCGGCGGCGTGCGGCGTTCGTCCGCTCGATCGTCGGCGCTGCCCGCGTCTTGTTTGGGCGAAGGCGGAGGCCGGAGGCAGAACGCGCGCGGCCTCGGCATTCGCTGGTGGCCGGTCAGCCGGCGACGGTGCGCATCGACATTCCGCCCACCAGCCCCGGCCGGGCGGCGTTCAAGGTGTGGGACTGTGGGAGGAGCTCGTCAACGTGCTCCGCAAGGACGGAACGAGCCGACCCCGCCGCCGCCTTCGTCCACCGCAAGAAGGTCCAGCACTCCCAGATGAACATCCGCGACGCCTTCCTCGCACTCTACCGCGGCCTCGACCTCCTCAAGAAGTTCAAGTATGGATATGATGGTCGATGCACTCTCTTTCTCTCGACAGCGACAACTGATCAAGCCGACGTCCTCCAGACTCCAGTTCGACCTTCTTCACGCGCATCATCAACCATCGCCATCGTTACTCTGTTGTCAACACCCGGCTTAATTAATACAGATTTGCTAATAGTCAACCGGTTGTACTCTGTATGCCATCGCAGGCGCAAGAAGCGGAGCCCTGGAGGTGCAAGCCGCCGGCGATTAGCACACGTACACAAGCCAGCGAGTGCCATGCATGCCCACAAAGCGCCAGAGTTCGTCCTTTGTAGCTACTGCTTTGTTTTGTTTTAATATTTGATCAATTTTTCACTCCATCCACTCCATCCTGAGCTTTCCGTATTTACTTTGTCTAAATTCTATAGTTAGTATGAACCACAATATGGATTTTGCTCCTTTTGGTCATGGTCCAGGCCCTGAAGTAGTCAATAATGAAAAGAAAACTCTACTAGAAGCATTAATTAAAGTATTTATGTGAAATAAATCTCCTCAAAACTGCATTTTTCACATGTGTATTTCAAATTAAAATATTGTTACTTCACAAAGAAATAAAATATTGTTATATGAACGACCCCGTTCAAAATCTTGATCGGGTAATGTGATCTATATTTAAATCTGGTAATGGGACACAAATTTACAAAAACCTCTATAATGCCAATCTCAATTCATTGCATCACATCAGTCATCAATCCTCTGGAAAGCATATAACATTGGTCATATAAATACAGCTTTATGTTTCCAAGGTTGGATTTCACATTACTGTTTTTTTTCTGAGGTAGCTTCTCTCTCTAAAATATCCTTATCATACGTAGGTGAAAGCAGTATATTTCTGAAGTACTTCATAGTGTTTCTTTTTCCTACCATGAAACAGTACCATTTACATTGAACAGGGCAAGTATTACATGGGAAAAGGCTGAAGAGCTGAAGAAGGGGCATTGTTATATAGCTCTTGATTATATGGCAGAGTTGCGAATATTTAAGGTATGGAACATGTATATTTTTTTATTATATAAAACTTTGAATTCTTGCATTCTTGTTTTGAATTAATTTGTATAAAATGCATATATAGGGTATAACTTTATATTTTAGAAATGAACTATTTTATTACATTTTTTAAAACTAGCTAACTGGTATTATGTATATAGGTTGTGGCCTATTAAATGGAAAATGAAAAAACTTATGACGTGTAGGGTTACACGTAGCTTGTTAAACTTTAAATAAATTATTTACAATGAACTGACGTTGTCATAGATTTGTAACGATGGCCAGTTAGCATGTTATGATGATTTATAGTTAGTCACAATATTGAAATCCTTTATTTTACGACGATTTCAATGGGCTCTTAATGACGGCCAAAGAATTTTTGTCATAAAGTCATATTAACACCAAAAAACATAGTAAAATAGACTGACTTAGGGCGTGTTTGGGATCATGGGTTACCCACCACAGGGTGCGATACATACATGTATCGCGTCACGAGGGTCATGGTGCGAAAACGCAGGTTTGGCTTCATTTGTGCTGTTTCGATGCCGTGTGCGGGGAAAAGAATCATCGCACCGTGGGAGCGTTTGGCACGATTCTCGGATTGTTTTCACCGCCGCCGCAAGAAACGCGGTCCCAAACACGCCCTTAGCAACAAATTTAGACGTCCTCAGGAGCAAATCATCATAGAAGGTCGTGTCTTTTGTAGTGATAGGATTTGTATAAAGTGCATAGGGCTCAGGGAGATGTAGATGTGTTTGTACGTTCTTGCATTTTGGATCAGAAAACGGTAAGTGGACATTGTGCCCAATTTCTCATTTTTCATCGATGTTGTGTTTGTGTGCTTATATATCAGATGGCAATTGTAAGCTACTACTTCGTTTGAAGAAGCATGAAACTTCAGTGAATAATGCTGTGGAAGATAAGAATTTGGATTCTTTGATCACCGAGTTTATTTCGTTCTTCATGCTTCCAACCTGTTTCTAGGTGATTGACGTCTCTCATCCATATACTTCACAAATAGTCCAGCCAAAGGTTTAATAGTGAATCATCATGCTTTAAAAGTTTTGATGGGAAGATCTCTATGTTTGTCTTACACACCGTTATTCTCATTTTTAAAGATTATTATGATAGCAGGCTGATATGGACATAATTAGGGTGATTGACTAATCTTAACATTTTATATAAGAAAAGAAACTGAATGTAATGCTGGCTGAATGTTTGTTAACATTTTATGAACCCAGTGCTGATATATTCGAAATTATTTAGGTTTAAAATTTTAATCTTGTATAATTAAAAGACACATTTTTTTCATAAACTTTAGGGGTTGAATTTGTAATCTTGAGAAAATGTATGTTTTTGTCTTTGTAAAATAAAATGTAATAGTCATGAACTCAACACTTCTCCTATTAAAGAAAAAACTTTTTTTTAGACCAAAAATGTGGTGGATATCTAGGTTCATCAATTATTTCGACAATGAAAAACTATGGATATCTCTAAGATTTTATCAATTACTCCTAAGCAAACTCCCACCCCCATGCAGACCAAAGGAGAAAATAGGAGCGGTGGATACCTTGTGGTCATCAATGAGTCAAGAAAGAGATATGTCGCCCCGTTCGCTTGGCTTATAAGTCGTATTTTTTTAATCAACGAACAATATTTTTCTCTCATAATAAATCAACCAACAGTACTTTCAGCCATAGCTTATCAGCCAAGCGAACATGGCAATGAATATCTAGCTCCATCAATTAATCTAATAGAAGAAACGCAGCGGATATCCATGAATTAATCAGAACAAAGAGAAACCATGGATATCCATATCCTTAAGGAGTCTGTTCGCTTGGTCGTATTTGGTTTATAAGCCAGCCAACGAATAATATTTTTCTCTCACACCAAACCAGTCAACAGTCCTTTCAGTCATGGCTTATAAGCCAAACAAACCCAATCTAGCAGGGCCAAGGTCATGCTGCTGATTAATTAATCAATGACTCATGCATGGCATCATTTAACCAAAGAAGCTAAAAATTTTACCATGCAAGCTGCTCGCCGCGTCCGCGTGAACGAAGCCTAATAAACTCTAAATCCAGATTAGCCACTGACCACTGTCCACTGTAACAAAGAATCCGACGCGTACGGGGCTCGGGTTTTGAGAGCCTGTGCTGCCGAAACGGCCCGCGCCATCTCCGTCTCCGTCTCTCCCACCACGCGTAGGCGTAGCGGCGTTGGCGGCTTGGCGCGTACAGTACAGCTCATGCCACTACCCCACCCGGCCACCCGCCCCCTGAAATCACGAGCAGTCGAGCACCATTTGCACCATGGCAGACAGTGACCCCACCCCCTGCACCGCTGAACGCCCTCATTTATATTCCCTTCCATCCACCCCTCGCCGCAGCAGATCGACCTGGACCCCGTTTCCTCCCTCCTTCCCTCCCTTCCCTCGCTGACACTGTTTGACCCCTGCCGCTCGTGCCGCGTCCTCCTGTCCTCCAGCTAATAAGGCCGAGCGGCGAGGCGATAGCAGTGCTAGCCAGTGTAGGAGCGCTCCTAGTGTAGCGCCGTACCACAGATGGGGAGAAGAATGGAGGCCCCCTCCTCGCCCGCGCCCCGCCTCGTCGTCGTCCTCTTCCTCCTCGCCTCGCTGCTGCTGCATGCGCGCGCCGACGACCCCTACAGGTTCTACACCTGGAACGTCACCTTCGGCGACATCTACCCGCTCGGCGTCAAGCAGGAGGTACGCCCCGCCCGCACGGCCTCTGTTCTTCTACCTTGGTTCGCCCTGCATTTCGGCAATGGCCGCGTGGATGTGACTGCGAATGCGACTGCGGTGCAGGGGATACTGATCAACGGCCAGTTCCCGGGGCCGCAGATCGACGCCGTCACCAACGACAACATCATCGTCAATGTCTTGAACAACCTGCCGGTCCCCTTCCTCCTCTCCTGGTAATCTACTACTCCGTACTACTACTTACTACTAGTAGCAGTTACCTGTTACCATTACCACCCGTGCTCTGTTTTTTTACTGTCTCGCTCAAAAACTTGCCTGTTCAAGATTGGCATGCTTCCATCTGAATGTTCCGGGATGCAATGCAATGCAACTGGTCGGCTCTTTTCATTCAGCACGAGAGACCCTCAGTCGATGGTCTAGATTTGGAGTTGCAACCGCGTGATCCAGATCGTGCTCTTAGTCTTACTGTTATCTGTGTTCTCTTTCTCGCTGGAAATGCTATTTCCTGACGTTCCCGGGTAAATTCCTACTCCTTGTTCCATGCTGTGTCGTTCGTGGGACTAGTGGGATCGGTCTGTTCAGACATGGACTACGCTTGAGTGAAACATGCCAGGCCTTCCAAGTCCAAGTTGGCAGTTAAAAATTTCCTTGGATAGAGTAGCCTCAGCTGTGAATCTCGGTTGCGTTGCAGCGCTTGTTTTGTTGCTACTGCATGCCACTCACGTCATGCCATGGAGAGTGAGCTGTTTCAGGATAAAATTTTCACTACTCTTTTTTCCTTAGTAGCTAGAGGGAATCTGATACTATTTGTATTATAATATCCCCCCAATCTTTATCCTTATTAATAGTTTCCCTCCTTCCCTTTTACTTGTGCTTTCGCTTTCGTTCCAGATCCAGGATGCAAAGTGCACATGTACATACATACAACTAATGCTTCCATAGATGATAGATCAGTGGGCCTCCAGTGGTTTAGCATTGAGCATGTGAACATTAATGCGATCTGTGGCTTCTTTTGCCTTAAGAGAGTGACTACGGCTTGCCACATTAAGGCAGTCACATTGGCATCGCAAGAAAATTGTATATAAGAAAAAAAAAAGGAAATGCACATTGTCCATATTACCTATGGACTGACTATACTGAATGTTAAATGCATCAATCTCATGGCTAATTGATCGTGGACCACTGTGCGTGTGACATTGTAGATCAATGTTAATTTTGAGAATTAACTGTTCTTTTTTACTGTTCCTACATTGCAGGCAAGGAATTCAGCAGAGGAGGAGCTCATGGCAAGACGGCGTGTATGGTACCAACTGCCCGATCCCTCCGGGTGGCAATTTCACTTACAACATGCAGTTCAAGGACCAGATCGGGACATACTACTACTTCCCTTCCCTTCTATTTCACAAGGCAGCCGGTGGTTATGGTGGCATCAGGGTTCTTAGCCGGCCGAGGATCCCCGTCCCGTTTGACCCACCTGCCGGTGATTTCACCATATTGGCTGGTGATTGGTTCAAGCTCAACCACACTGTATGTTTACATCCTCAAGTATCCTGCATCGCATCTTACTGCTCATTTTAGTGCACCGCTAACACTGCAACTACGGATCCCTGCAGGATTTGAAAGGCATTTTGGACAGTGGTAATGACCTGCCGTCTCCTGATGGCCTTCTTATTAATGGTCAAGGCTGGAATGGCAACAGATTTACGGTAGACCAAGGTAAACTATATAATTGAGTACATCAGACGAAATGCCTGGCAATTATTAATAATCTTCGTATAGACAGAGTTGTGCTGAACTTGATTCACGTAATCTTGCCAGGGAAAACATATCGTTTTCGGGTGTCGAATGTGGGCATTGCAACATCAGTGAATATAAGGATTCAAGGCCATTCCATGCTCCTGGTTGAGGTGGAGGGGTCCCACACCATGCAGAGCACATACACATCCATCGATGTCCATCTAGGCCAATCATACTCGTTCCTTGTTACTGCTGATCAGCCACCTGCAGACTACTCCATAATTGTCTCCACTCGTTTTACCACCCCTGTCCTCACCACCACTGCTATCCTCCATTACAGCAATTCAAATGGTGCTGCAACGGTACCGCCTCCCGCAGCGCCTACAGTTGAGATCGATTTTTCACTCAACCAGGCTAGATCGATTCGGTAAGACTGTCACAATTCTTTCAGTAATTCTTAGCTTGCTCTGAAAACTTTGTTTTTGGATATCATATCATACTACCTAACAACATTACTGTTGTCACATTGAGAAAGACACATGCGTTTTGTCTTCCCTGACTCTTTGATATCTTCTGTTGCCTACCTTCTGTACAGGTGGAATCTGACAGCGAGTGGACCAAGGCCAAATCCTCAAGGCTCTTACCACTACGGTCTCGTCAACACCACAAGAACCATCAGACTCGCCAACTCACGGGCAACCATCAACGGCAAGCTGAGATACGCAGTCAACAGCATCTCCTTCATCCCGGCCGACACTCCTCTTAAGGTCGCTGATTTCTACAAGATTCCGGGAGTTTTCACGCTGGGCAGCATGCCCGACAACCCAACGGGTGGCGGCGCGTACCTCCAGACATCTGTCATGGCGGCCAACATGCGGGACTATGTCGAGGTCGTCTTTGAAAACACGGAGAACTTCGTGCAGTCGTGGCACATTGACGGTTACGCGTTCTGGGTCGTCGGGTGGGTTTCCTAATTCCATTCTTGCTGATCCTGACAAGTTCGGTATCACTGGATCCGAATGACTGAAGATTGGTGTGATTTTGTTTGTTTCTGGATGATCAGGATGGATGGAGGACAGTGGACACCTGCTAGTCGTCAGGGCTACAACCTTAGAGACGCCATTGCTCGGTACACATTGCAGGTATTGTTTATACCGGTCGCTCTCCATGTGTGATTCGCCTTGATCTAGATATATTTCTGGATATGCAATTCCCTTAACAGCGCTGTTGCGGTGCCATAACAAGAAGTCGATCAAGAAACAAAAGTTGCTCTGATGCCTGAACTCTGAACAACCACTGATGTTCACTTGTGTACACTGGCCATGTTTTCAGGTGTACCCTCAGTCATGGACAGCTATCTACATGCCGCTGGACAACGTGGGGATGTGGAACGTGAGGTCGGAGAGCTGGGCCAGGCAGTACCTCGGCCAGCAGTTCTACCTCCGTGTCTACTCGCCGGCGAACTCGTGGCGGGACGAGAACCCGATCCCCAAGAACGCGCTGCTCTGCGGCCGGGCCTCTGGGCGCCGGACGAGGCCTCTCTGAAGCTGAAGAAGCCCTGAACCCAAGAACACCTTGTTTGTTTCCGGCCACGAAGGGGTGGCCGGAACTTCCGGGGATAAGTTGAAGTTGAGGGTAGAGATAATTGGGGTGTTCAGATTGCTGAACAGAGTTCGTTTTGTGGCGCTGATGATCGATCAGCTCATATATTATTTAGCAATTGTAGTTAAAAAAACATTCCGATCCCGGTGGATTTGTTGTATGGGAAGCTTTCTCGCTTCCTCGCTGACATCATTGATGATGATAATATATTCATAGTTACCTGATTTTTCTTTTTGTAGCATACACCTTCAGATTTCTCATCTGTTCGAATGAACTGAAGATGCTGAAGAAACACTGGAAGTCTGAAACGAACAATACGTATATAGCATGAATACGCCTTCATAGCCGTGTAGCGTTGACTTCAAAAGACGCAAGCGTGCAAGAGAAGCAGACAGTTTCAAAATAGTTAACGGCCGGATTAGTTGGATCATTTTGCAAAGCGCCCCCTAAGGCCTGTTTGGTTTTCATAAGTCAGGTGACTTATTAAGTCAGGTGACTGAAAACCAGTGACTTATAAGTCATGCATGTTTGGTTGTAGATGACTTATAAGCTCATTAAAGGTGTGGGCCCCACGTAAAAAAGGGTGACTTATAAGTTTTAAGCAGGGATGAACCAACTTAAGGCCCTGTTTGGTTCCAAATAAGTCATCTACTTATAAGTTAAAAAGTGCAAAAAGTGACTTATTTTGCCAAACACCACCAACTTATAAGTCACCCCTGCTTATAAGTTTTAAGTTGGTTCACCCCTACTTAAAACTTATAAGTCACCCTTTTTCGCGTGGGGCCCACATTTTAATGAGCTTATAAGTCATCTACAACCAAATGCGCATTTACTTATAAATCATTTGGTTTTCAGTCACCTGACTTAATAAGTCACCTGACTTATGGAAACCAAACAGGGCCTAAAACTTATAATCAGGGGTGACTTATAAGTTGATGGTGTTTAATAAAATAAGTCACTTTTTTCACTTTTTAACTTATAAGTAGGTAACTTATTTGAAAAAACTTCTTCCTTCTCCCTCGTCCCCCCCCCCCAACCGCAACCTCTCCCTGTCACTCTCTCCCGATCGCTCCTCCCCCCATTTCGCGCTCTCCTCTAAACATAGGCGAGCTCGACGCGTGCGTGCCCGCCATCGCACACGGAATTCCCCATTCCTCCGCGCGAATCTCCCCACAAGCGATCCCCATTGTTGAGCCCCGATTCGAATCACCTAGGTTTTCTCTTCGCGACCGGCGAGACGGTGGCGAGGATGCCGTGCTAGGCTTGGGTCGGAGGTGAGATGAACATCGTGCGGGGCGTCGCCGATTATCTCCGCAAGGCGCCACCTCCTCCTCCCCCCGCACCGGGCGGTGATGCGGCGCCTACCACCTCCCACCCCGCGCGTCGTCTTCAGGTATGCGCGAGAGAATGACCGCACTCTCTCATTCACCTTCGCACTCCAATACCTTATACATAACGCGACTTGTTTAGCGCAGTGGCTGTGTGGGTTAGGTAATCCCCAATGCTCGTCGCGATTGCGCGAGATTCGAGTTAACTGTTGGAGAAATGCTGCGCCACTTGAAACTCATCATCAGTGGTTCAAAGCGGCAGTGAGCCACTGGGGCTTTGTTTCAGTTGCTAGTTTAATTATATAATATTGGCTCCTGCCTGTTAAATTAATATTCTGGGTTGTTTAGCATGTTTTTGCATGCCCATTACCTGAACCAATCCACCCATTAGTTAAGAATGGTTATACAGACAATTTATACTGATGGGTGCAACCATAGGCTTTGCAAATAGAAGAAGGAAAGGAAACAGAAAGTGAATGTATATGTGCAAGTGAGATTGAAAAACGGGAAAAATATAGCATCATCTCAATTAACCGTAAAGCCTAAACAAAGACGAAATGACCGTTTCTAATTTGCAGTTGCAACACCATTTTGCCGCAGACTACCGAAGCTTATTTGCCCCTGTGGCAAGCCAGGTGCATTCTTCATCGTTGAAGGCAGCAAAAACTTGTTTGTTGTGACCAAATACTGATGTTAAGTCATGATTCAGATAAAAGTAAACCACTTGTAGCCTCAAGTTAAGCTTGCCCGTGAGTCTTTCCTACCAAATAACACAAAGAACTGTATGATTGTAGCGGACTGCTTGTTAATTGTTTCAACTCTTTTTCTTGTCTGATGAGTAAGATAGGTATATGGAAAGACATTGCATTGAAAGTCACATTAATCCTTGCCAGTTAAGCAAATTATTCATGTTAGCTTGGCACAAGTGCAGCATCTATATGCTGATTTTAATTCTATAAATAAATCTGTCATCAGATCTTGTAGCCTTTTCTTTTTGGTGCTTGACTTGATTGCGTGAATGTTTCTCCTCATGATTTGTTATCTGGTTTCAGTGGTAGTCTGGAGGAGGGAGCCTTGAATGTACTTTGGAAGAATTACGAGAATGCACTTGATAAGGTACTTTTCTGAAAGCCTGGCAGTTTCCTTCTAGTTCTGCTTACAGTTAGAATCTTAAACTAGACACATATTGCCATTCTAAAAATTTGCTAGATGTTTCAATACTTCGATGTAATGTAAGAGCCTAGAGGACTAGCCAGTAGCCATATATTTTAGTGTCCATTTGGCTGTTATCCATGACATGACTTAGTAATGTGTCATCCAAGCATAACTTAGGAGATGACAGGAACACAAATTGTTTGAACAAACAAACATCTTTAAAAATCATAGGCTAATGATTAAAACAGTCTGTTTTAACGCTTGTTAAGTATTTTGGGCAGCATGACTAGAGTTTGTTTGTGTCCAGCTAAGATTATTCTTTGCGGGGCAATATATTTTTCTCTGAAAGTTGAAGTTTGGTTCAACTTTGACCCAAAACTAGCCTTAACATTATGATGATTCATTATGCTTTTTCTTCTTCCAAAGATGTAAAAGTCGATGCCTTAAATGCAATAACCCGGTATTTGCTTAATGGTAAATAGCATTGATATTTTTGCTCCATGATAACCTAACCTGCTGTAGTACATAACTATTCTGCTGGCAATTCGTTCAGAATTTTATGCAACTACTTTATACAGTTATGCTGTATTACATCTTGTGCTCTTACAGGACGAGAAGGAAAAATCTCTTCAAATTTTTGTCTTGCAATTTGTAGAGACATTCAGAGATTGGGGACCACACCCAATTGAGCAACTGGTTGATCAAGAATTAGGAAACAATGAAACAGTTGTAGGATGCTCTTGCGGGCATCCTTCTGAGGTCATTCTTATTCTGATTCAGGAGATTTCTCTAATTACATCAACTTTTACTGAAAGTAAGCGGCTTTATTCTATAGTGACTATTTATTGTGTGATATTCCTCCAATATTCTTTGATTTTTTAAATTCATAATTTTGATGTTTGTTGCATGTGGTAAGTCTCCCCACCTTTCATTCTATGTTCACGAAACAACTCTTTCTTGAGCATGGGTAGAATGCTCTTCTTGGACAAATTTGGCTTCTTAAAATCAATTTTTTGTGGAATTTGCTTCCTAGAAACCTGTTTTTGCGAGTGGACAATGCAAAATTGTACCAATTTGAAGTGGACACTGCAGGCGCTGAAAGTTTGGAGTAATATATACTGCTCATAGGGTTGTGACTTGTGAGAAGACTGATGAAATGACTAAATTACCCCTTATACCTGAACTGTTGCCATCAGCTTAAGTGCTACAACTACACACATCTGAGTTGACATTATATATTTTAATGCTCATCAAACAGGAATTTTGCATAATATTGCTGTGTCCAAGATCCCCACAGAAAACGTCACAAAGCTTGAAAGCCCTTAACCCAAATTTTCCATTTTTTTATGCCCTTCAGGGCTTCAGGCCTTAATATATAATATGCTGATCGCTGAGAAACAAAACACGGTGGAACTTTCAGTGGCATAACAATGACCATAGCTTTGCTTAGTTGAAGAAGTAAAATCAGGTTTACTTATTTTTCATCATATGCCTTTAGAGTTTAAAGTAGTTGAATAAGGAGGAGGTTATTCCGAGGATACTGCTAAAATGCTGAACTTTTGTTCTATTTGTTGAACACTTTTGCTTTATCTTGTTGAGCCATTGCACTTGGGGCTATTTTTCAGTTGTGTTGTGGTGTGTTGGTGTTTTCTCCCCTTGAACACACTGTGTTGGTGTTGCATTGTAGAATGTAGTTCATTAGAGGTAACCTTTACTGATTTGAAAATAAGTTAGCTTTTATAGCTCTGAACAGATGCTTGAGCAAGTTGAGCATTAATCAATGTGACTTAGTGCAAAAGGACACTATTAGAATTTATTTTCTGAATGAACAATATCTGGTAGAATGCTCACTTTGTGAATGAGAAATAGACTATTGTTGGTTTTGTCATTATATGGATTTTGCTTTTGACAGCTATTCTTATAATTTAAATCATATTTGTTCTTGTTATTGCATTATTAGGTGGCAACAGTCCGGTATCTCCTACAATTCATCATTCAGGGCAACAAAATAACTTGGGTTTGAGCTCACAGATATTGCAAGTTCTGGAGTGTTTGGAAATTCTGACTCGCTCCTTGCATAACTGTAAAGTATTCAGCTACTATGGTGGTGTACAGAAGATTGCTTCTCTACTAAAAGGTAGGAGTTCCGTCAGGTGCTGATCACCCATTCTAAGAAGTGTGTGGGTACTGGATTCTTGTCCTGTCCTTTTAACCCTCTTCTTTAATGGAATGACACGCAACTCTCCTGCGTATTCAAGTTGACAATTATGCATCATGTATTTTTTTAAGCAACAATTACACATCATTTATTCGTCCTCACTTTGAACAGTTGATTAACCCTAAACCCTGTTAAGTACACTCTTAGAACTTCAAATTGCTAATTTCTTAACTAATGAGCAGTTTTCCACCACCCTCTAAGAGGCTCAGGCTTCATGTTTCAAATCCACCACGAGTTTGGTTTTCTCTTATTTGTTTTGTTGGGATTTGAGCTGCTCATGACCTCATTGTATATATACCTCTTTGCTGTTCAGTGAAGTGTACATCATTATACATAACTTCTCAATTCTCTAACTAACATCCGTGAGTCTTTTTTTAATGGATTATATCTCATTAGCTTCCTTTTTTAGTATATTCAGCTGCTGTTGCTCAGCTCAAAAACTTGAACAGGTTGCTGGCTGCAGAAGATCAATCTTCAGATGAAGCAGTGGAAAATGCTAGGCTGATGCTAAATATGCTTGTATGCATAATCACTATAATTTCAAACTTCATGAAGTTGGAAATAACTGTTGGAAGGATTCCCCATATTGCCGATACCACAAAGCATACCCCATCAAGCAACCATTTGGCTGCAGTCACGTCTAGCTCTCCTGATAGAACCATTTCTGATACACTTCGACATTGGCAGCAGAAGGCAATTGTTCTTGTGATGGAAGCCAGAGGTGTCAACTGGTTAGTAGGTAATAAAGTTATCTTTAGTTTTCTTTTGGGCTTATGTACTGTGATTCTGGGTATTTCTTTTAGATTATCATGGGGATACTCATTTCTTGGGTATATTGTGCTGATGCTATAGTACCTACTGGATTGTCATATAGGCCTGTTTACTGAAAAAGAAAAAGATTCACTTTGGGTGTAGTAAAATTAGGACCATTTCTTTGTCCCTTTTCAGTAAATTTCTAGTCTACATATTATGAAAAGTACTAATAAAGAGGTTGTGCAATTAATGGTGCCACTGTATTGCCCATTCTTTTTTACAGAAAATCATATGTGCTATTATTGAATTATACCATATTTTTTAATAAATCTCTAAATGATACTGCAGAACTATTACGTGTCGTTCAAAGGTTGAATTTGAAAGAGCAGTGCATTGATCTCACACTCCATTTTATTACTTTGTGCACTCTGCGATCAACTGTTTCTGGTACTCGTGCTCAGAATCATCTCAGAAGCATTGGTGGGCTGGAAATTCTATTGGATGGACTTGGACTTCCTTCTAGTAAATTTTCAGTTTTGAGGCAATCATCTATCTCAAGAAATGAAAGGTGCATTTTTGCAGCGCCATGGTTTACCATTATTTATTATTTTGTGCTTTCATTCCCTTTTCTATTTCTTATGCATAGAATCACAAATTTGCTGCATAAACTTGAAGACAAATATTGACCAATGATTTTCTGTATTGAGCAAAATCTATTTTTGCTAAATACTTGGAGCTAAAAATCTGATATTATTAAATTTGAATTTGCCCAAATGTTAAATGTCTAGTAGTATTACATTCGTACTTTATACCCAAATGTTACTAGTCTGATAGTATTTAATTTGAATTTGGTACATAAATATTATTTGTGCATCATAGCTAAATTTGGATTTTGAATGTGACATTCCTACTTTGGAATTTCAGCTTAAAAAATTTAGTTCTGTGCTTTTATTCACATAATTGATTTCTCTTATGGTGCAGAATGGCTGAAAGTTTGAACCATACTCTTTTGATACTCCACATATAGTTTCTCTTTTATACATTGGTCTTACTGTTTAGGTTGGTGTTTATTTAGTTACAGAGGAGTCCATCCCTCCAATTTGTTTTTCGACTTTTGACATCTATGCAAACTAACTGTATGGTAATATGTTAATCTTGTAATGAACATTTTACCTTTTTCAAATAAAAAAGGTCCACAGTGATGTATGAGAATCTCAATCCTTTAGGGCCTTATGGTTGTTTTCAACTTTATATAGTGCAATAGGTTTTACCTCCTTGTTTCTTGTGCACCTTTTATGTTCTAACATTTCTGTACTCTTATAGGGCTGAAATACTTCTGCTCCAGATACAGTATTTGCAAACTCTGAGTGAGGCAGTGTATCCTTTGTTTTCAATTACTTTTATGTGGACTTAGCATATGAGTTGTAACTTTCAGAATATTAATAGACTCTGCTAATATATAGTTCAGGTAGATTCTTGGTCATGCCATAGGAGGCATTGATGTACTAGCTAATTGTTGAGTCCTTGACTTCTAATTAGATTTGGCAACGTCAACAATTTGAAAATTTTATGTGAAAATAGACGGGTACACAAATTCGCAAACTGCATTTGTTGGCCTGCATTTATGATTCAGAAGTTCCATCGGCAAAAGGATAATACCAAAGCTTCACCTACACTAGATTCTGTCTCTGGTCCAATTTATTGTCTTGATAGAATTGAATGGATTGACTACTCTATAAAATTGAGCAATGCCCTTTGTTCTTCCTTCGGAGGATATCGGACACTGTTCTGATGAAATAGCTGTCAGCCAAATTGTATTATCCATCCCATTGGCATACCTGGAGCAATCTGTGAGATGGATCATAAGGATTCTTATGACCGTCTTTCTATGTATCAGAGCGTGTACCAAAGAAACTGAGCTGCCAAACCACATAAAGTGAGTTTTTTCTTAATGTAGTCATGAATCTCCCTTTGAACCAGAATATTTAACTATCGCGTTTCATATTAAGATGCTTTGTTAAGTTTGTTTCACCACAAAGAAGATATACTTTTTGGAATTTGACACATTTTCCCATCATAACGCTTTGCTGGAATAGTCAGTCTTTCATCAATGGCAACTCTAACATATTAATTAGTTATATTTATTAGGTGGCTATTAATCTTCTGAACCCTGTAGTCAGTTGCAACTGCTTTCTGTGCAATAGATTAGTATGTTACCAGATAGCAGCTACTACTTGTAGAATAGCAGAGATAGAAGGGAAACACCACACCCAATGTGGGGGGGTGACATTGATATATATAGCCAATTACATGGCAGCATATATACAATACATGGCAGGTGCTAATCATACTAAATATAGACTTGCCTAATATACACTTTCCTAATGTATATATCTATCAGCCGCCCTCAGTCGAAGCATCAGGATTCCGGATGCACAGACTGGACCGAAAATCCTCAAAGAGCTGAACCGGCAGCCCCTTTGTCATGAGATCAGCAAACTGATACTTGGACGGCACATGGAGAACGCGAACCTCGCTGAGAGCCACCTTCTCACGGACGAAATGGATGTCGATCTCAATGTGCTTGGTACGGCGGTGGTGGACCGGGTTGGCTGTCATATAGACAGCGCTGACGTTGTCACAGTAGACAACTGTGGCGACCTTCAATGGAACATGAAGTTCCTGAAGAAGCTGTCGAAGCCAACAGCACTCTGCGACCACATGAGCAACAGCCCGGTACTCGGCCTCTGCACTGGACCGGGACACCGTGGTTTGCCGTTTGGACGACCAGGACACCAAGCTGTCGCCGAGGAAGACGCAGAAGCCGGAGGTGGAGCGGCGAGAGTCGGGGCACCCTGCCCAGTCAGCGTCGGAGTAGGCAATCAACTTGTCGATAGGCCCAGTGCTGATGTGGAGGCCAGCTGACAGTGTGCCCTTCACATACCGAAGGATGCGCTTGATCAGCGCAAGGTGAGCTTCGCGCGGATCATGCATAAAGAGGCACACCTGCTGCACAGCGTACGTCAGGTCGGGGCGAGTGAGTGTCAAGTACTGAAGTGAGCCGGCGAGACTCCGGTACGTGGCGGGGTCGGCGACGGGAGCGCCCTCCGTGGCAGAGAGCTTGGCACGAGAGTCGACAGGCGTCGATGTCGAGTGACATTCGGCCATGCCCGCCTTCTGAAGAAGATCCACCGCGTACTGCCTTTGGCTGAGGAAGAGCCCGTCGGAGGAGCGAGTGACGGAGATCCCCAGGAAGTGATGGAGCTCCCCAAGATCCGTCATGGCAAACTCAGAGTGAAGGCGACCGATGATGCGGCGAAGCAGAGCTTCCGAGGAAGCCGTGAGGACGATGTCGTCGACGTATAGCAGCAAGTAGGCACTGGCGCCGCCCTCAGTGTAGACGAAGAGGGAGGTGTCGGTTGGCGAAAACAACCGAAGCCGCTAAACGTCACGTGGTGGCGGTTACCGGTGCCACGCCGGGCTGGCTGCTTAAAACCGTAAAGGAGCGCTGAAGAAGACAGACGGCGCCGGGGACGCGCTGGTCGACGGCCGGGCTGGCGACAAGACTGCCGTCTCGTGCGGTGACCGTGAAGAAAGGCATTCTTCACGTCCGGTGGTGGTGGATGGGCCAGCGACGAAAGCGGCGATCTTGAGGACGATCCGAATGGTGGCGCAGCTTGACGACGAAATTTGAACGTTTCGTCGTAGTCGATGCCGTGGCGCTGGGTGAAGCCACGAACGACCAAATGAGCCTTGTGACGAGCCAGGTGCCATCGGAGTGGAACTTGTGCCGGAAGATCCACTTGCTCGCTACCACGCTGGCACACGGGGTCGGAAGCGAAGTCGCCACGTGTCGTTGTCGACGAGAGCCTTGTACTCCTCGACCATGGCCTGCGGCGCGCTTTGAAATTCGGGCAAGGGCCCCTCGGTAGTCGCGGGGAATGGGTGAGGCAGTGGAGGAGGCGGCGACGTGAGCAGACGATGGGAAGCCGTAACGATCAACAGGCTTCAGCGAGCCTGTCTGGAGGCGCGTCACAGGTCGGCTCGAAGTAGGAGGTGGCGGACCGGCTGCCACAACTGGAGCAGGAGCCGGCTGTTCTGGAACAGCGGGCGCCGACGGGGGCACCTCCACGACTGGTGCGGACAGAACAGCGGGCGCCGGCGGGGGCACCTCCACGGCCCGTGCGACAAGCAGGGTGCGAGGCGGCTCGGCAATGGGCGGGAGCACCAGCACGCCGCCGAACGTAGACCCGTAGAGGTGGACCGGTTGGAGCAGGAGCAGCCGGGCCAGGAGGAAGGACCGGGCCAATCTGTAGGATGGCGGGGTCCTCAGCGAGCTCCTCCAGTTGAGCTCGGCGTCGCGGCTGCTCAGCGGCGACTGGCGACGGGGCGACCGCAGGGGGCACCATGGTGGCAGTTTGGTGCACCGGCGCAGCAGGACCTGGAAGAAGAAAATCCAGAGAGCTTGTGGGCTCACTGGTGGGGTCAGTGCTGAACGGAAAATTATTCTCGTCGAAGACAACATGACGGGAGATGATAATCCGTCTAGTTGTGAGGTCGAGACACCGATAACCCTTGTGAGAGGAGGGGTATCCAAGAAAGACACAGGCTGTGGAGCGAGGGGCCAGCTTGTGTTTGGAAGTGGCGGTGAGATTGGGATAGCAGAGGCAACCGAAGACACGAAGAATAGTGTAGTCTGGGGACTGCTTGAAGAGTTGCTCATAGGGAACTCTATGGTGAATGGCTGAGCAGGGGCGCCTGTTGAGGAGATATGTGGCTGTAGCTAGTGCCTCTGCCCAATATTTGGGTGGCATGTGGGCGTGGATGAGCAGCGTGCGGCATATGTTGTTCAGAGAACGGATGATACGTTCAGCTTTGCCGTTTTGAGGGGAGGTGTAAGGGCAGGAGAGGCGTAAGTGAATGCCGCTAGAGGCGAAGAAGGTGGCGAGGGTATTGTTGACAAATTCAGTGCCATTGTCGGCCTGAACAGCCTTGACAGGAAGGCTGAACTGTGTGTGGACGAAGGCGCAAAACTGAGTGATGTGAGTAGCTACCTCGGACTTGTGGACTAGGGGAAAGGTCCAGCAAAAGTGGGTGAAGTCATCGAGGATGACAAGGTAGTACTGTGCACCAGAAATACTAGCGACCGGGGATGTCCAAACATCACAGTGTATAAGCTCAAAAGGTAAAGAGGAAACGGAACTGGAATTGCCAAAAGGCAGCCGCACATGCTTGCCAAGTTGACATGAGTGACAAAGAGTATGAGCTGATTTATTACAGGAAATGGAATTATTGTGTCTAAGCAAATGGAGGGCAGCAGCTCCTGGATGACCCAGACGATGATGCCATAGGTCGGTGGAGGTGACGAGGTTGGCTTGTGGCGTGGCAGGGACGGTGTAGAGGCCGTCGGAGCTATTGGAGCGAAGAATCACGCGTCTGGTCTGCAGGTCCTTAACAGAAAAGCCAAAAGCGTCAAATTCGATAGTGCAATTGTTGTCACGAGTGAATTGGCGAACCGAAAGTAAGTTGCGCACTAGAGAGGGGACAACTAGAACATTGCGAAGCGAGAAGGGAGACGCGTGGCCTGGTAAAGTGGAGCTGCCGGAGCAGGAGACAGGAAGATGATGGCCGCTGCCAACAGTAATGGATGGGATAGAAGAGAGTTGACGGGAGATGAGTATACCATCCGAGTTATGCATGTGGGAGGTGGCGCCGGAGTCCATGACCCAGCCGGAGTTCTGGAGCGCCATCTGGTTCAAGGCAGCGATGAGGCCGGCCTGATCCCACAGTGGAGCGGATGGAGCTGGCGGAGGGGGAGTGAAGACGGTGTGGGCCTGCGGAGTGGCACCCATGATGCCCTGGTCACCGTGAGGGGGCCAGCCGCCGGGGCTGTTGCCCTGCTGCCAGCTGCGGCCTGGAGGAGGAACGCCGCCCTGGAAGGCCCATGGGTTGTAGCAGAACCAGGGCCCCATGGGGCGGTTGGCCCCTTGCTGTCCACTGCCGCTGCCCTGCTGCCAGCCAGCGCTGGTGCCTTGGCCGCGCCAGCCGCCCTGTTTCTTGCCGCCCTTGCCTTTCCTGCCGCCCCCAGAGCCCTTGGGAGCAGCGCCAGTGGCCACAGAGGAGGAGGGCCGGCACCCTGGAGAAGTGCAGGAGCCAGAGGCGGCCACCATGGCAGATGCAGCCGTGGTCTTCTCGTCGTTGGCGAGGCGCAGCTCTTTGAGGGAGAGCATTTCTCGCGCCCTGGAAAAGGAAGGCAGCTCGGGGGAGTTGGCGATGTCGTCGGCAGTGGCAGTGTAGCGTGGGTTGAGGCCGCGTAGGAGGCTGAGGACGAGTTGGGAGTCCTCGATGGTGTGGCCGACGTCCCGAAGAGCGGCGGCCTTGATCTTGAGGCGCTGGCAGTACTCGTCAATTGTCGAGTCACCCTGTTTCAAGGAGTGAAACTCTTCAAGCAGGAAGACGGCCCGGGGCGCGCGGTTGGAACGGAAGAGGCCCTCAATCGCCACCCACAGCTCGCGGGCGGACTGGTTCTCGTCGGTGATGGCAAGATCAAGAACCGAGTCGTCGACGGTGTTGAGGATCCAGCCGCGGACAGTGCACTCGGCAATGTCCCACGATGGATCAGCAGTCGGAGGGGCTGGTCCGTCGATGTGGGGGCGAAGGCTGAATTTCCCACACAAGGCCTTGAAGAACGAAGCCCACTTGGTGAAGTTAGGATTCTTCATCTCCAGGGTAACCGGAATGTGAGTCTTCACGTTCACGGCGGTGTAGGGGTGGACGACGACGGCCTGCGGCGGTGGTGGTGCAGCAGCGGCTGCGGCAGCAGCAGCGGCAGCAGCTGCGGCCGAGGCATCGGCGTTGGAAAGCATCTCGCCACAGGAGGAGGGGCGCCCAGGGAAGAGGTGGGGTGGAAGGAGGCGGAAGTAGAAGGTCCAGGATCTAATTGATCTTGGTCTGTGATACCATGTAGAATAGCAGAGATAGAAGGGAAACACCACACCCAATGTGGGGGGGTGACATTGATATATATAGCCAATTACATGGCAGCATATATAGAATACATGGCAGGTGCTAATCATACTAAATATAGACTTGCCTAATATACACTTTCCTAATGTATATATCTATCACTACTATACAAAGTACTAACCAAATCCTGAACTCATTCTGCAGGATTTTTTCAAAGACCCTTCAATATTACGTGATTCGCATGTTCAAAAGAGTTCTTATTTCAACACCAGCTCTACTCCCAGCTTTCCGAGAGGAAGGTGTATGGGACCTGATATTCTCAGGGAATTTTTTCTACTTTGGTTCATCTGTAGAAGACACTTGTTTTCATACTGTTACAGATATTAAAAATGGTGATGTTAACAGTAACCAAATATCTATTCATTCTGAAAGCTTGTATCGTACCGATGTTAAAATTCTTCAAGCGGAAGCTATTTCCTTCTTGGAGTTTGCTGCAACACTCCATGAAAACACATATAACACGGTAAAACTTTTGTCTTTTATAATGTAATATTGTAGGCTCAGTGTCTAATCACCAGTATTTTTTGTTGTTTTTTCTCTCTCGAACACACCAGTATTTTGTTCTGAATCTCTTCTACTTTATTTTTCTTTTCATTGTAGCCAGAATGCTCAGCACTACTAGATGCACTTGAACATTGCTTCTCAAAAGCTTCCGTGTTATTCTACAACTCGCGACAGAACATACTCTAGCTTCATTTGAATCTTTGGATGTAATTACAAGAGTCCTTAAGGCTGCTTGCCGTCAGGCACAAGAGCTACGAAACTTTAGCAATTTTCTTTGTTCTAATGTCATGATCAATCAAGATGGTTCTCAATTTAAAAATATTGAAGGCATAACTGAGGACGCTCTTATATGTACAGAGTTAGCTTTGAGCCTCTTTATGGAATATGTCACTATATCGATAGATGGAAGAATTCTTGTTTTGCACAATGCTGACTGTATTGAGTGCTTATTTGACTTGTTCCATGAACAGAACATTCGAAAGCATGTGCTGGAGCAAGTTCTTGCCTTATTTAGGGTAAATCTATGCTTATCTTCTGTTCTAAAGAAGTTTATGTTTACCATAAGTTCTTCAGTCTTCTTATTAATGTTGGGAGCTAAAATATGGTTCCCTGTAACCAGTTGCCTTCATCGTCAGCACAAGATCATACAGCAAAGTTGCAGTTATGCTCAAAGTATTTAGAGAACTTAGCACGGGCAAATGAAAAAGAAAAGGTCAACACAGAGTTGTTAATTGACCTTCTGGTCAACATGAGAGAGATCATAATGATGGATCACATGGTAGGTTCCATAAGGGTTTTGTATGTAGTAGTAGAATTACAATTGTTTTGCTATACCAGTAATGCATAATGGTTGACAAATGTGCTTCTACACTTCACTTTCTAGTACTATCAAAATCTGTTTCGTGACGACGGGTGCTTTCTGCATATTATTTCCTTATTGAATGGAAATTTCAATAAGGTGACTGATGAGCGGCTTGTCCTTAATGTCCTTCAGACCTTAACTTTATTACTTGAAGGGAATGATGCATCTAAGGTAATCATATTGACACATGTGGTTCATGCAATAACTCTGTTTGGTGTGTGACAACAATCTTGGTTCGTTTTGTCTAGGGTGCCTTTAGATTAGTAGTTGGTGCAGGTTATCAAACATTACACAGCCTGGTACTGGATTTCTACAAATGGTCGCCAAGTGGGAGACTCTTGGATGCATTACTTTGCATGCTAGTTGATTGCAAGTTTGAGTTAGATGAGAAAACAACTATAAAGGCTAGTAGTTATCAATCTTTTGAAAACCTAATACAATATAAGTGTTTCTGGGTTCATTTAATTATGGCATGCTTCGTTCTTTCATTATCTTTACTAATATAATGTTTGCCCTATAATTATTTCAGAATGAAGATGCTGTTGTATTACTTCTAAATATTTTGCAGAAGGTCTTTTCTCTTACGCACAGAGATGATAGTACCATTTCCTCTTATAATTCCCATTTATATGCCTTTTTCTTGACATCAGCCAATTTCTAATTGGCAGAGCAGCACGTCACTTCAGCACTATGGGCTTGTAATCTTACAGCAGTTGCTCAAGCAATACATTACAAATGGAACCTCTTGTTTCAGAGCCGGGTTGCTAAGTTTTCTTCTTGATTGGTTTTCAGTAGAGGAAAAGGATGATACAGTTATTGCTATTGCAGAGTTAATACAGATACTTGGTGCACACAGTATATGTGGCAAGGACATCCGGAAAATCTTTGCCCTTTTGTGTTGTGAGAAGATTGGTGCCAAACACAAGCACACGTCTTTGCTTCTGACAAGTCTCAGTCACATGCTGAAGGAAAAGGGGCCAGAAGCTTTCTTTGAGTTCAGTGGCCATGATTCTGTGC